ATGGGAAAGGTAACACGGAATGAGTGTGAAGTGCGTAGAGCTCGATGAAAGTAGATGTCACTAAAAAGTACAAAAGGAAAAAAGACGTGTTTGTAATTACTACGGCACATATAATTTTGAAACAATCAAAAAATATATGTGTGGGAACATATGTACGTATGTAGGCATGTATGTTTACTGTTGTTCTTACGTGCAGTTGAGTCAGTTCTAGCTCATATCGACCCTATGTCAAAAGAATGAAACACTGCCCAGTCCTGTGCCATCCTCACAATCACTGCTATGTTTGAGCCCACTGTTGTAGTCACTGTGTCAATCCATCTTGTTGAGGGTCTTTTTCAATGACCCTCTACTTCACCAGGCATGATGTCCTTCTCCAGGGACTGGTCTCTCCTGATAAGATGTCCAAAGTATGTGAGATGGAGTCTTGCCATCCTTGCTTCTAAGGAGCATGCCGGTTGTACTTCTTCCAAGACAGATTTGTTCATTCTTCTGGCAGTCCATGGTATACTCAATATTCTTCGCCAACACCATAATTCAAAGGCATCAAGTCTTCTTCAGTCTTCCTTACTCATTATCCAGCTTTCATATGCGTATGAGGGGATTGAAAATACCATGGCTTGGGTCAGGTGCATCTTAGTCCTCAAAGTGACATGTTTGCTTTTTAACATTTTAAAGAGGTCTTTTCATTTGATTTCTTGACTGCTGCTTCCTTGGGCATTGATTGTGGATCCAGATAAAATGAAATCCTTGACAACTTCAATCTTTTCTCCATTTATTATGATGTTGTTATCGGTCCCGTTGTGAGGATTTTTGTTTTCTTTATATTGGGGCGTAATCCATACTGCAGTATTTGATCTTCATCATTATATGCGTGCTTCAAGTCCTCTTCACTTTCCACAAGCAAGGTTGTGTCATCCTCATATCACAGGTTGTTAATGAGTCTTCCTCCAATCCTGATGCCAAGTGCTTCTTCATAGAGTCCAGCTTCTTGGATTATTTGCTTACCACACAGATTGAGTAAGTATGGTGAAAGGATACAACCCTGACACACACCTTTCCTGATTTTAAATGACGCAGTATCCCTCTGCTCTGTTTGAACGACTGCATCTTGGTCTATGTACAGGTTCCTCCTGAGCACAATTAAGTGCTCTGGAACTCCCATTCTTCACAATGTTATCCCTAATTTGTTATGATCCACACAGACAAATGCCTTTGCATAGTCAATAAAACACAGGCAAACATCTTTCTGGTATTCTCTGCTTTTAGCTAAGATCCATCTAACATCAGCAATGATAGCACTCGTTCCACATCCTCTCCTGAATCTTGAATTTCTGGCAGTTTCCTGTCAATCTACTGCTGCAATTGCTTTTGAATTATCTTCAGCAAAATTTTACTTGCATGTGATACTGATACTGTTCGATAATTTCTACATTCTGTTGGATCACCTTTCTTTGGAATGGACACAAATATGGATCTCTTCCAGTTGGTTGGCCAGGTAGTGTCTTCCAAATATCTTGGCATAGATGAGTGAGTGCTTCCAGTGTTGCATCCATTTGTTGAAACACTTCAACTGGTATTCCATCAATTCCTAGAGTCTTGTTTTTCACCAATGCCTTCAGTGCAGCTTGGACTTCTTTCTTCAATACCATTGGTTCTTGATCATATGCTACATCCTGAAATGGTTGAATGTTGACCAATTCTTTTTGGTACAGTGACTCTATTTATTCCTTCCATCTTCTTTTGATGCTTCCTGCTTCATTCAGTATTTTGCCCATGGAATCCTTCAGTATTGCAAATTGAGGCTTGAATTTTTTCCTCAGTTCTTTCAGCTTGAAAAATGCTGAGCGTATTCTTCCCTTTTGGTTTTCTAACTCCAGATCTTTGCATATTTCATTATAGTACTTTACTTTGTCTTCTCGAGCTTCCCTTTGAAATCTTCTGTTTATCTCTTTTACTTCATCATTTCTTCCATTTGCTTTAGCTATTGTACATTCAAGAGCAAGTTTTAGAGTCTCTCCTGACATACATCTTGGTCTTTTCTTTCTTTCCTGTCTTTTTAACGATCTTTTCTTTCTTCATGTATGATGTCCTTGACATCATCCCACAACTCCTCTGGTCTTCGATCATCAGTGTTCAATGTGTCAAATCTATTCTTGAGATGGTTTCTAAATTCAGGTTGGATTTACTCAAGGCCGTACTTTGGCTCTCATGGACTTCCTTTAATTTTCTTCAACTTCAATTCAGACTTGCATATGAGCAATTGAGGTCTGTTCCACAGTCAGCCCTGGCCTTGTTCTGATGGATTATACTGAGCTTTTTCATCGTCTCTTTCCACAAATGTAGTCAACTTGATTCCTGTGTATTCCATCTAGCAAGGACCACCTGTATAGTTGCCGTTTATGTTGTTGAAAAAAAAAGTATTTGCAATGAAAGAAGAAATTGAAGAATTTACCAACTTCCACAGTCTAAAATTGATCAAACATGCATCAAGATGCATTGATAATTACTGGTGATTGGAATGTGGAAATAAAGAAGAAGGATTGGGAGTTGGAAAATATGGCCTTGGTGATAGAAACGACGTCAGAGATCACATGACAGAATTTTGCAAGACCAATGGCTTATTCATTGCTAATACCTTTTTTCAACAACATAAACGGCTACTATACACGTAGACCTCACTGGATGGAATGCAGAAGTATATATATAGGTGCATGCATACATATATGCATCTATTTGACTATATGCACATATATTCATTTATATAATAAAGCACATAGACAGCACAGTTACGGATACGTCTAATACATAACCAAATACTTTGCAGGATTGGATTTCTGAGCTTGAAGGATTAGGACCATAATGTTGTGGGACATCTCAGTCAATTGGCATAATAACTTTAAGAAGTTATGTTCTACATCCTAATTTGGTGAGTTGTGTCTCAGGTCTTAAAAGCTTGTGTGCGGCCATCTAAGATACATTTATTGGTCTCTAGTGGTTAGGAGCAAAAGAGAGTGAAGGAAACAAAAGACTCAAGGAAAAAATTAGTCTACAAGACAAAGAGTCTACACAAACCATGGCTTCATCTACCCTGAAAGCAGAAGAACTAGATGGTGGCCTCATCTACCCAGAAACCAGAAGAACTAGATTGTGCCCAGCTATCAAAACCGACTGTTCTAATCAGTGCCACAATAGATGGACACTGATAGAATGAGAGAAAAATGTGGAAAAGAACCTCACACTCTTAAAAAAAAAAAAAAGACCTACTGGATGATTGAGGTTGGAGGACTCCCTGAGACTACTGTCCTGATATACTCTTCAAGCCTTGAACTAAAACTAACCCGAGGTCACCTTATAGCTAAATAACAGATTGGCTTGCAAAATAATGAATATACCTGTAAGTACTGGGTTCCTTCAAAAAATCACCTGTACAAGACGAAATGGTCAACAATTAATTTAAAACAAAGATGAGAATATAAGTTGGCAACCAAAACCAAATCAAGACCTTTACCGTGGAATTGATTCTGACTCATAGTGACCCTGCAAGGAAAAACAGAACTGTTCCATAAGGTTTCCAAGGCTGTAATCTTTACGGAGCAGCTGGTGGATTTATACCACTAACCTTTTGGTTAGCAGCCAAGCACTTAACCACTGCACCACCAGGGCTCCTAGAAGGGAACAGTGAAGCTAGATTAATGGAAACAGAACAACCAGAACAATAGTAATGTGAATGCTCACACATTGTGAAAAATGTTAACCAATGTCACTGAACAATTTGTGTAGAAATTGTTGAATAGAAACCTAAAGTGTTATGTAAACCTTCACCAAAAACACAATATTATTTTTTAAAAAACTGACAGTAATCTTTAATGGAAATGTTGTTAATGAGCAGAGATGTTTTATAATAACTTCATGTGTTGCAATAGTTTTCTGAAAATTGGAGCTCTGGTGGTACAGTGGTTAAGAGATCAGGCTGCTAACCAAAAGGTCGGCAATTCGAATCCACCAGCCACTCCTTGGAAACCCTATGGGGAAGTTCCACTCTGAGTTAGAATCACTCAATGGCAACAGGTTTGGATTTTCTAAAGGATAAGACTTGATGCATGCATCAAAGTTGAAAAACTTTAAAATTACTATACACCATTGCTATTGGATATTTTCCCTTCAGTGAATGTTTCCATCAACAACCTGTACCATAAACGTAAGTATATAGTTACTATTTAAGCACGACAGTTACACATGAAAAATTCTTGTAAATTTTTTGCAAAATTTTAAAAGGTATCTTTTTTAATTCTTAAAAACAATAGTTTAGTCTATTCACCAAAAAAAAATCTCAGCAATTATTCTTTTTGTAATATGCTAACAAGTTAGAAAATCTTTCCCTCTCTGAACGCAAGCCAACTTTAGTTCAGACCCATACTTTTCTCTCCAGCATCTTTCAAATTGTGTACGTGTGTGTACATGTAAGATATGTGTAGTTGTGCGCGATGGTTTCATTTTTAAAGAGAAATAGCAAAAAGCTATGAATTTCTCCAAGAAATTGGAGTCAATTACAGGATTTGATTGGGGAGAACGATGCTGCTAAAATCAACTCTGTCTAAACTGCTGTGGTCTGCAAAGTAAAGAGCGAAGGAGAAGCAATAATCCTATTGCAAGAAGGAATTAGGGGGTATTAGTACTACATGTATCCTATTTCACTCATAGGCTGAGATTTGCTTTGACCATTTGCTCACAGGACCTGTTGACGTGCACCATGTGACATTCCTAATGGAATCCTTAAAAATTCTTGTCACCCAGTTCTCGAAGATGTTCACAGGATTTCACACACGTTGTGCTCGTTTTTTGTTTTTGTTTTAACGCAAACATCCTTACTCAGAAACTGATGACCCTACATCCACAAAACAGTTACACGGCATCAGAGGATCAGTCTTGCCCACAAAACACAACACGGAAAGGGCATGCATTAACCCGAAGTTTAATTCCGGGCATATTTTCTTTCTTACCTGATGCTGGGTCAGGTGGGACCTGCCCCACCTTTCCGCGAACCCTCTTTCTGCAGATTTCCCGAGGGTCCCAGGGCTGGAGCAGAGGAAACAAGAACAGAGGGTGCAGGGAAAAGCCACCCTTAGCTTCACTACTCCCTCTTGTCCTCCGGCTCGAACTTGCTCCAGGTCCCGGGCCAAAAGAGAGTGCCACCAGCCAACACCACCAGCTCCACAGAGTTGGAGGGATTCCCTTAAGAAGCTCCCCTTGCACTCCCTGACTGACGCCCCCGGAGACAAACAGGAGAAACGGCATCAATCGCTTGAGAGACACCAGGCTAGCAGAAGCAATAGCAAGTCCTGCTGCTCAAAAAGAAGAGGAAATGATGGAGGAGGCGGTGACTGGGATGTGACCGAAAACAGACAACCGCGGCGAAAAGGGCACCTCCCCACTCCAACCTAACTCTAAGCCGTCTTCGCCCTGTTGTCATAGCACTTTACAACGAACGGTACTGCGCAGGTCACACGGCTGCGCCGCGACGACTTCTGGGAATTGTAGTCCAGAATAACGAGGGAGGGTGGGTAGCGGAAAACGCTTTCTGGTGGGCTGTGGTTGGAATCAGATTTCTTCTGGGACGGGACCGGAATGAACCACTCCGTAGTTCTCGTTGGCAGAGAAAGATAGTTAATACAATTCCCTTTTCTGTCCTAGAACCAGTTCCTCAGACCCGGGCTGTAGGGAAAGCCCGCCTCCCGCTCCTGCTCCGCACAAAGGCCCCGCTCCTCGACGCCGGCGGGCTGGGTTTTCCGCAGGGGCGGGGCGTTCGCGGCTTCTCAGTGGTGCACAGTCTGATCCAGCGCATCCGAGCCTCGGTAGCCCCTGCCAATGGTTTCTTATTTTCGTGGCGTTGAGGCGCAAGAGGGCCCTGTCCATGGACCTGGCGGCCGTGTCGAGGATCGGCACGGTAGCGAACGCCAGCGTGTGCGCCCTGGTGGTGGGGGTGGTGCTAGTCCAGTATAAATTCACCTTGAAGAGGAAGATCCAGCTGAAGAGTAAGATCCTCGAGATGGTGAGTGCGGAGGGTCAGCGCCCTGGAGCGCGTAAGGATCACTGCCCACACGTGGGTTTGAAGATCCAAGGTTTATGGCACCTAAATCTCTCCTGTCTCGAGAAGGCACTGGAGCATTAATAGGGCTACCCTGAATTCACAAAGGTCTTTAAAACAAAAATGGTAGATACTTAAAAAAAAAAAAAAATTAAAACTGCAAACTGTTGCTTTTAAATTTAAAAAATGTTTTATTGTGGTTCTAAATATGGCATCATAAAAACCCCAAAATTCAGATGGTGACTATGCCTCAAACACATTTTAATACCGTCACTTACTTATACCAGCCTCCTCATAGCCCAAGTGGGGCGGAATGATCACAGTTCGTTTTTCCCTAAGGTACATCTCTATGAGACCTGTATCTACTCCCAACGCGGCCTGTCCAGACCCCAAAACAGTATTACACATTTTGCCTAAATTCCTCTTTAAAATGAAAGAGAAGAGTGCCTATTAGGCCATCAACCCATTGGCACTTGTGAGTGTTCTCATGAGTAGACCACAACATACATTCTCTGATATTTCTGCCAAAGACAAGTAACTTCATTTGAATCACGAGGAAACAGTGGACAAACCCAAACTGAGGGTCATTTTGCACAATAATCAACCTGTAATCTTCAAACCTATCAAGGTCGTGAAAGTCAAGGACAGGCTGAGTTGCTGTTCCAGAGAATGGGAATATTTGGCAAAACTTAAGTGAGGTCTCAAGATTAGATGACAGTAATGTATTAATGTTAACTTCGTGATTTTTAATGGAAGAGATCCATATTTGTGTCCATTCCAAAGAAAGGTGATCCAGCAGGCTGTGGAAATTATCAAACAATATCATTAATATCACATGCAAGTAAAATTTTGCTACAGATAATTCAAAAGTGGTTGCAGCAGTACATCAACAGGGAACTGCCAGAAATTCAGGCTGGATTCAGAAGAAGATGTGGAACAAGGATATCATTGCTGATGTCAGATTGGTCTTGGTTGAAGGCAGAGAATACCAGAAAGATGTTTACCTGTGTTTTAGTGACTATGGATCATAACAGATTATGGATAATGTCGTGAAGAATGGCAATTCCAGAACGTTTAATTGTGCTCATTAGGAACCTGTACCTAGACCAAGACACAGCTGTTCAAACAGAACAAGGGGATACTGCATGGTTTAAAGTCAGGAAAGATGTGCATCAGGGTTGTATCCTTTCACCATACTTACTCAATCTGTATGTTGAGTAAAGAATCCATGAAGCTGGACTGTATGAAGAAAGCGGCATCAGGATTGGTGGGAGACTCATTAACAACCTGCGATATGCAGATGACAGATCTTGCTTGCTGAAAGCGAGGAGGACTTGAAGCACTTACTGATGAAAATCAAAGACTACAGCCTTTAGTATGGATAACACCTCAGCATAAAGAGAACGAAAATCCTTACAACTGGACCAATAAGCAACATCACAATAAATGAAGAAAATATTGAAGTTGTCAAGGAATTCATTTTACCTGGATCCACAGTAAACGCCCATGGAAGCAGCAGACAAGAGATCAAACGACACATTGCGCTGGGCAAATCTGCTGCAAAAGACCTCTTTTAAGTGTTGAAAAGCAAAGATGTCACTTTGAGGACTAAGATGCGCCTGACCCAAACCATGATATTTTCAGTCACCTCATATGCATGTGAAAGCTGAACTATGTGAATAAGGAAGACCAAAGAAGAATCGATGCCTTTAAATTACAGCATTGGCAGAGAATATTGAATATAGCATGGACGGCCAGAAGAATGAACAAATCTGTCTTGGGAAAAGTACAGCCAGAGTGCTCCTTGGAACCAAGCATGGCACAACTTCGTCCCACATACTTTGGGGATGTTATCAGGAGGGATCAGTCCCTGGAGAAGGACATCATGCTTGGTAAAGTAGAGGGTCAGCGAAAAAGAGGAAGACCCTCAGTGAGATGGATTGACACAGTGACTCCAACAGTAGGCTCAAGCATAACAACAATTGTGAGGATGGCACAGGACCGGGCAGTGTTTCGTTCTGTTGTACATAGGGTCACTATGAGTCGGAACGGACTCAACGGCACCTAACAATTGAGTTATGTAGGAAAATGTTCATTTTCCTGTGAAATGCACACTGAAGCATTCAGGGGTGATGGGATATCATGCTGGCCACCTACTCTGCAGTGGTGGGGAGGAGGGTCCATTGTACTGGTCTTACTACTTTTCTGTAAGTTTTTTCACTATTGTTTTTGTTTTTTTTTTTTTTTAAAAAAAAAATCCTCATGAAAATACCTAATAAGAACACTGACCAAAACTCTCTCTGGGTCCAGCATTCTTTTGAAAACCCCCACCTTCCCACCCAGGCTTTTATCAGTACTAAAAACCAAAGGCCATAGCCACCTCTTCTCTTCATGGGGCCAAGCCCTCTGTGGATTCCTGAGTCCCTTTCCTGACTACCACCCTCGACTCCTGTTAGAATCCTCTTTGGGGGCATTTGAACAATTTCTGGGTTTCTGTTTATCTTTATTCCTAATAGAAGCGGCGCTGCTGTGAAATCACTGGTACATATCTCCTGATACACATGTTCTAACTATTAACTGTAGTATATACTTGGAGTGGATTTGCTGGTTTATAGAATGTTTGAATGTTTAACTTTACAACATAATGCCAGTTGTTTGGTTTTGGGGTTTTTTGTTACTTTGATTTTTTTTTTTTTTAATTTGCTTTTTACTTTCAGATTCAGTGTAAGGATAATATCCTGTCAGTCACCAGCCTTAAAATTTTTGTTGTTGTTCTTGCTTTTTTCATTGGATTCTACCTTAGACTTTAAACATCCTGTTTTTTTTTTTACCACCAGTCCACATTCCCAATAAAAAATATAATTCTGGATTATTACATTTGTTAAAGATAAAAGAATACTGTCATGAAAATCATCAAAACCCTTAATTTTTAATACTTTGGTATTAAACCATCACAACATTGATTATAAAAGAAAAACTGAAATTACATGGATTGTCAGTAATAGGAGCTTAAGCAAATGATGAAAAATATTATTCAACCATTAACATTCAAGTTATTGGAATATCTTTTATTTGAAAAAAATGTGTTTAATATACTTACAGATGAAGAAACATCTAAAAACACCATGTACTATGTCATCAATTTTATAAAGACAAAATGTGGAAAAAATATTACAAATATTTTTCACTGAAATATTAACATTGGCTATTATGTGGACTTGTGAGTGAATTAATTTTCCTTTGCATTTTTCTGTTTTCTAATTTTTATGCATTGCCATGCATCACCTTTGTAATTAGGATAAAAGTTCTATAGTAGAATAAAATAAAATACTGTATTTAAAATAAGTGAAAATTGCCTTTAATTACTAATTTATATTACAACCATGTAAGAAATATAACTGCTTATTTTTAAAAATTCCTGGGACCAGAGAAGTTTCTGCAAACTGTGATATCAGAGTCAACCTATTTCAGTTCACTATTTGCTGGAAAACCTGTTTTTCCCATTTGTGGCCTGAAAAGTTTATTTTTAACAGCTGGTGCCCACTGCTTTTAGGGTGGATTTTTGCTCAGGAGGCTCCTCAGGCCCTGATATAATCAGGGTCCTGGAGGGTCCACCTCAGAAGGCAGCCAGACATGCTCAAACGTGGAATGTCACCAGCAGCCTTGGCCCAGACACAAACTGGAACCTGGGATTCCGCCATTCAGATGCCTGAGCAAATTAGACTCAAGCACCCTACCTCCCCACAGGTGATACTGTAAAAGGTTACAGTGTATAAGAGGAAACCTTTTATTTCTAAATAGTGAGTTGTTGTTTGCTGTCAAGTTGATTCTGACTCATAGTGACCCTATATGACACAGTAGAACTTCCCCGTACAGTTTCCTAGGTTGAAATCCTTAAGGGAGCAGATCACCAGGTCTTTTCTCCCAAGGAGCAGCTGGTGGGTTCAAACAGCCAACCTTTTGGTTAGCAGTTGAGTGCTTAACCATTGCGCCACCAGGGCTCCTTCAAATAGTGACTTACACTATCATTTTTCTTTTCTCTTTAGTATCAGGAAATCTAAGAAGATTGATTTTAAAAACTAACTTTGCACCCAGATGTTGTCATCTGACACAGTTCTCAGAGACAATAGAATGTACTCTAGCTAAACAGAAACTCCAGCTAGTTTAAAGGAAATTAGGTAGCTCACTGAATCTCTGGGAGCCCCAGGAACAATGTAGCTAGGGTGGTGCAGTCAGGAGAAACACCTAGCC